GGACCTTGCACTTGTGAGGCAGGTGCCAGAACCACTGAGCTAAATCCTTGGCCCCCTCCATGCTTTATCTTTTGCAAAACTCTTGTATGTTGGATGTGTCTAATTCAGTATCTACCTTCCCCTCATTTTTGATGCTAAGGTGAACCCACAGTTTAACCCAGGCTTCTCACCTACCCTATGGTAGAATATCCGTAAAGGTCATGGCCATGAGAACCCCAGGAGATGCAGGTAGCACCTTCCTGAGGAAGTGCCCCAGACTGATGGACGGATGAGACCCTCCGCCCAGCCCACCTCTCACTGCTCACTGGAACAACTCCAGCTGCAGGTGCCATTTGCTGCTCCCGGGGGCTTCCAGGCTTCTTCCAAACACCATGCCTTTGTTTGCTTGACCCTCTCCCTCTGGAATATTTCCACCCCTCAGTGTTTCCACATTTACTTGGAAACCACTTCATTCTTTAAGATTCACCTAACAAATCACCTCCTCCAAGAAAACTTCTCTGATACCTCTTACAAGTTCACACTATAAGAGGTGGAGCAGGTGGGACTCTCTGCTCCTAGTGCCTTGGGCCTGGTCATCATGGTGTTTGCATGCTTTTCAAAAAGCTCATCTCTGTGTTTATGCACACACACACACACACACACATACACACACACACACACGCGCACTGCACTGAGTCTGTCCTTATCTTCATGTCCATGGTACCTAGCCTTGCTCCCACGTTACAGATGGAAGTGCTAAAATGAATGGAGCAAGAAAGGAATTGAATTCTGGTTGAAAGGCCCCTCTTTTAGAAACATAACCCTTGCAGTAAGTGGAGACAGTATAGGAATCCAGTTCAAATTGTCCTAATGAAAACAGGAACCATTTCATTTCCCTGAGAAACTGACAGGCTGATGAAAAGGGAAGAGAAGCTGAGTCCTGGATTTCAAAACTTCTCTCTGGGGATCCCTTTCTCCCTGAGTCTGCTGCTGTGCTCTGTGCTGGCTGCGTTTTAGAAAGTCTCCCCTTAAGCAGTGGCAAAGCTCCAAGCTTCTGTTCTACCGGCAATAACCAGCAGGAAGCACCACCCTTTTTGTCCAACCATTTCCCGCAAAAAGTACTCCAGGAATTTTTCTAACTTGGACAGGGTAGGCCACTGTCCATCCCTGATCCTGCCAGTGGGACTGGGGGTTGGAGCCAAACAGAAAGGGCTGTCCAATCCTAACTGAGGCTTGCAGCTCACTCCTGGAGTGAGCTGGAGTAGAGTTTGGAGTAGGATCACCTTACCTGAGCCACTCAGATTAGGAAGAAGGAGAGAGACCAAGGAAAAGAAAACTGGGGTCTGGTTTCCAAAGAAAAACCAGGATTCTCTTATAAAAATTCAAGGGAAGGGGCTCAAACCAGCAGAAATGACAGGCATGCTAGACACGGGACAGGGTGAAAGGCATTGACACTCAAAGGCTTTGGACTGAAGGGATTGAATGCCACCCTCAATATCTTAGTTACTTTTCTTGTTGCTGAGACAAAATACCCAACACCCAAAGTTAAAGGGGGACAGATTTATTTCGCTTACAGTTCATAGAAGTTTCAGTCTATATAAGCTGCTTCCAAGGCAAGGTGGTACATGGCAGAGGAGTAAGAGTTCATGGCAGGCAGGAGTTAGCAAAACCAAGAGGAGAGCTTAACAGTATCTTTCTGCCCCTTTTATCTTATTCAGACTACTTACAGTGGGTTACACTCACACCCTTAATGCTAATGCCCTTGGGCCTAGCATTGTACCATGAATCCATTCCAGTATCACACACTCTACATCCAGCCACCTAAAAAAAATGCCACCTATGACCACATGAGGCTTTGAGGGGACACCTAAACACAGGGCATAACACTCAGGCATCTTCATTCTTCTCCCCTCAGGATTGAAGTCATTCATGATACTCAGAGCAGTCATTGCCACAAAAATGCCTGGCTCCCTGTGATGGAAGAGCCCGCTCCCTGCTGCAAGAGCCCGCTCCTGTCATTCAGTCAGTGTGCAGGGTGAGCAGCAGCTCTGATGGAAAAGGTGTAGTAGATAAGTGATAACAAAACTGCAGATCCACCAATACACGAACTGAAGAAGGAATTATCAACTAACACTTTGTTTTAGTGATTGATGCCTCTCTTTTCTCCAGATTGGTGACTGCATATCTTTGACGTTTAGACATAGAAACCTGTCATCTAGATCACAATGAATAATTGGCTGAGAAAGACACTAAAATAAGGAAGAACTGGGTTATTTTGGTATAACATCTTTGCTTTTTAATGTTTCTAAAAAAGTAAATATGAGGCTATTAGGAATTAAATTATGAGGACTGATATACTGTAAAAGGAAAAACTTTTTAGTATTTCATTTTGTAGCAACTATTATTTATTACACAAGTCTTAGACATAAAGTTATACACATTGTTCTACAAATAAGAGGCTGTCTCTAGAAATATCTTGCCTTTTTGAAAACTACTGTACATTTTTAAAGCTTGATTTACTTTTGAGTATTTGCTTGTGTCAGTACTTTGGATTGAATCTGGAAGTCTTTACAGCAAATATCTCCCATTTTCTTAAATTATAGAGTTCTGGGCCACCTCCAACTACTGCTGAAGACATAGTACTTCAGTTGTTAACCCATGCTATTGGTCAAACAGGGTCCACGGAAAACGGGAAACTGCTCTCAGCAAGTTGGAGGCAAATGCAATGCATATTTCCACCTCCAGGAAGTGCAGAGGGCAGAGAATTCATTTCTGCTGACTTTGGTGGTGGTGGGGAGTTGATTTACAAAAACAGGAAAATAGAAGGAGATTTTATTAAATTAAGAATATATTGATGTCACAAAGGAAAGCTTTTGCTGTTAATGAAATAAAACACTGGAGAATTTTGCAATGTTTGTTATGAAGATTTAGGAAAAGTGAAGTTGAACCATGCAATAACAAACATTAAAAACAACTCTCCTGAAGTTGTGACTCATTTACCTCAGAAAAAAAATTTGTTGTGCAGTAAGCCCTGAAACTCAAATTCTGAATATTATTGACTGTGAGACCTGGATAAATTACTTAAATTCCATAGCCCTCCATTTCCCTATGAATTGCAATGTGGTTGTTTGGGAGGGAGGTAACTACTTCACGGGGCAGTTGAGAAGACTGATTGATGGGTAAATGTGAGGTGTTACCATGAATGACACCAGAGAGAACAATCATTTATAATGCTTCACATTTACTCAGCATCTTAAAACATACAAAATGTGTCACTTTCCAGGGACATTGAAGACAAAAGCAAAGATCTACTGAAGTTTGTTCTTTTGAGTAAAACAAAAAAGTCCTAATAAACAATCTCTTCTTCTTTTCTGCCCTTTATAATATTTTGCAATAAAGACGGATGGATCTATAATCAGAAAAATGAAGTAATATTTATAAATTTTAAGGAATAGCTATTATATTTCTGAACCACTAATTTTTTTTCAAGAAAACATCGTATTTCTCACTAGGAATCTCAGAAAAATAATGGTAACAATAGTAGCATTGACATAAATCCTCAATTATTGAAGAATCGGTCATACATTTTATAAGCTTTAGAGTATCTTCCATTTCCTACACTTTAAAAAATAAAATCTTTTAAATTTTTGTTCTTTTTATTGGACTGTACTAATGATCACAGGAAAATGTAAAAACAGAAATCTATTTACAAAGTTTTTCTAATAATTGAGGTGGAATATCTTGATATTTATCCAGATTTTCTAGTTGAAATTTCTAAAACTGGAATTAGACAATAACCCATGAGTTGAACTACACAACAAAAGACTCATCCTAAATTTCTTCCTAAGGAAAAAAAAAACTAATAAAAATCTTGATAATGGAGGACTTTTTTGTAAAAATTCATTTTCCTGGGTATAAAGATTTTCTCTCCAGGTGAATTTTGGCTTAGTTAATATGGGGGATGGTTTCTATTTTATTTATTTATAATTATTTACAACATTTAATATATACTAGTGTTTTATAAATGTTAACACATTCATTCACCACAACAACCTTCTGAGGCAAGTACTACCACTTATCTCCATTTTGTAGACAGAAAGACTAAGGCATCCACATGTAAAATGTCAGGTCCCAGAAAGGACAGAGGGGTGGACAGGCCTGGGACAGAACCTGCTCCCTGGCCTTAGGCATCTGTGCAGCGCCCACTTCCTGCTGCCTGCCTGCAAGGTGTCCCCCACTTCCAACATGTCTGCTCCCGGAACTCACTGCACCCTCAGAAACCTTCCTGCAATCCAACAAAGACATTCAAACTGAAGGGTTTTGGAAAGACCTGTTGAATGACAAAGGCTCTGTATAAGAGCTTAAAATGTCTTATTGGAAACCCTAAAAATGTTTGTTTCTTGATAAGAAAATCAAATCACTGGAGACAGAAAAATCTATAGGAGGTGGAAATGAAGCAAGATTTGTCTCCAAACAGCCAGGAAGTGGGATAAAATTTTTGACCAGTGAGAAGATGGATGAGGTCTGTGACCAGGGAGGAGGTGGCTCGGATCTCTGACCTAGAAATACTTTCTTCCCTGGTTGGGTGAGCAAAGAGCGCAGCTCACCTGGTAACAGCTCAGGAAATCTGTGATGTGAACAAACCCAGGGCCTGTGTCCGGGGACGCCAACACTTTCCAGGCCCAAGAGGCCCACCAAGCCCTGGCACATGGATCACATCTGCCCTCCCACCAGGCTGTTATGCTCAGGATTCCCTGGAGCTTGGGAAGTTCCCGCGTTAAACACAGGAAGGAAGCAGTGAAGGTTTACCAAACTTTCTCCCCAATTAAACACCGAATTGAACTTTTGACATTGGTCTTCCCTGTGGCAGAAACTATGATTTGATTGTCCTGCTAAACACCAGGATTGAAGCCAACACTCTTGTGTGAAATCCCTGATAGAAGTGATTAAACAGAGGGCATTTATGAGGACAGAAGGGAAAGCCCCAGCCCCTGGAGCTTTGAGTATATGACAAAAAGAAAACCATTCCCCACCCCATGGGACCCGATGCACCGCGTGTCCCCGCCCCGCAGGCGTCTCCTTCCGGATCCGAGCTGGGGAATCCCCAGCGCAGCCTCCCGGCCGCGCATAAAGGGGCGCAACGGCCGGGGAGCCCCAGTCCAGCCATGGCCCACACCGCCCCCAGTGCCCTGCGCCCCGTGCCACTGCTGCTGCTGCTGCTGCTGCTGGTGACGGGAGCCGCCCGGAGAGCCGCAGGTGAGGACCGCAGGGACCACAAGGACGCTGGGACGCGGGACGCTGGGACACCAGGATCACAGGGACTGACCGCGCTTGGCTTGCCTCCCCGCTTCCCCAGGACGACACACGGGGCCTTGCTCACCTACCTCCCTGTCCTTCTCCCCAGGAGCGCCTGTGACCACCGAGCTGCGCTGCCGCTGTCTGCAGCCTGTGCGCGGGCTGCACCCCAAGAGTATCCAGAGCGTAGCCGTGACGGCGCCGGGACCCCACTGCCACCAAACCGAAGTCGTGTAAGTCCCCGGTTGCGCTGCCCGACCCGACCTGGGGACCTGAGGCTGGGACCCTCACCGAGGATGACGCAGCTCGGATGACCCCGCTCACGGCCTCCTTCCTCCCGCAGGGCCACGCTCAAGGATGGACGTGTAGCCTGCCTAGACCCGGAGGCCCCGATGGTGCAGAGAGTCCTGCAGAGAATGCTGAGCAAGTGCGTGGGGCTGTGCGTGCACGGGGCGGGGTCAGACCTGCGCCCTGAAATCATACCGGGGAACCGGGTGCAGCTGCGGGACAAGGAGCGGGGTTTCCATAACTGACCTCCCCAGGAAGAGTATTCATGTGCCTCCCCAGCAGGGTCTTTGCCATGCCCAAGCCACTTCCTACTCTAATAAGTGCGGTTAAACTGTGCTCCTGAGAGACTTAAAATTGGCTGGTGAGGTTGAAAATCTCTGGCCTGTTGACATCAGTGTCTCATGGGTCAAGGCCTGAAAGATGGACCCATTGTTGCGGGCTGGGGGCCTTAAACCTCGGTGTCGACCAGTAGAGACATTTCCCGAGGCCCCCCTGGGTTCAGGAGGCTCCACGGGTTATCCTGTAGTCTCGGGGCAGTGTGGAAACAACCGCAGCTGCTCATGCGTGGGTTGCCTCTGAAGCTGTCCTGAGATGTTGTATTCTGGTTTTCACCCTGCTGTAATAGCGTGGGGTTGTTTGAAGTTAATCTACAATGGGACTATAGGTTCCCTCTTCCTGGCCAACAACACCAGGTATTTTTTGCCTGGTGGAAGAGTAGGGAATGAGCACATTCAGAAAACCCTAGAGCAGTGTAGGGCTGAGCGGGAGAAGGCTGAACAGTGGGATTTCTGAGACCCTGCTAACTGCAACCATTCTCTCTTCACAGAAGCAAAGCCACCTGAGCCCTGGAGGACTGAGCCCTTCAGTGTGCCTGTTTCTGAGGGAATTCTCAGAGGAATCAAAGGGAAAGAGAGGCGAAATAACACCAGCGGTGCGGGATTGTGCCTAATGTCTGTGACCATTTCTTGTGGGAGTTTTTCTTCTATTTATTTGAATATGTATTTATTTTTCCATGCTTTTGTATGGTTTAATATTTAAAGATGAGATGGTATTTTTTCTAATATTTTATTGTACGGTTATTTTAACGGTCATTTTTAATGTTAAATCAAAGTTATTTTAGTAATGACTTAGTTTGAAGATGATGAGTGTAAGATATTTATTCATTAAACTTGTTGGGCACCATGCCAGCCAGGTAGGGAATGCAGAGAAGTAGTGAGATCCACCTTAACCTGGGTGAGTGTGTGCACACATGTTTTTGTAACTGTTTAGATGAATGTCAGCTGTTATTTATTGCCACACTTTCACAGAACGTAGTCAACATTTCTGATGTTGAAGCCTTAAGAACTACAATGTTCTAATTACCCCTTGGACATTTTATGTCTTCTTTGTAAGGCACAATGCCTTGTTTAGCCATAACTGTGCACTGTTTCTACATGTTTTGGAGCAGAGATATATTTATCAGTATGTTTTTACAAATATCATGAAAATAAAGCTTTTACAAAAATATTTTGCTTAAATTTGCTTTATGTCTGGGTTCCTCCCGAGTACCCAAGTGTCAGGAGGTCATAATAGATCTTGGCTTATGTCAGTGGCTGCCACCAGCTGGCTCTTCCCTTATTTTCTCTCAAGAAGGCACATTTGATTCTTTTTCAAAAAAAGTTCATGAAGGCCCCAACCTTACAAATCCATGTTTAACATAAAATATTAATTTTTGTCTCTATATCTGACCTGCTGTTTAATTCTACTGCTTTAAACACTTTGAAATTTTAATATATATTTTTAAAAGATCTCATTTATTTTTCTAAATGTCTTTCCAAACAATTATATATTCTTTTCCTTTCTTAAGAAAGTTGAGTGATAAGTTGTAGTTAAGTGGATTCTTTCTCAGAGCTCAATCTGTGCAATACTGGAAAGAAAAAAACCAGAAAAAGCAAGTGGCTGAGTACTTAGGTGTATGGTGCTAATTAAGAGGGGCTTCATTTTCTGACACTCAGAAAGGGAACAGTCACTAAATATAATGCCATTCCAATGCTTCCAAGTGTAGGGAAAGCCTGCAAATTTGAATTTAAAGTGCCCCAGATGACAGGAGAACGAGCTTCCCAGGTAGAAATATAGGCTGTCCCCTCCAGACCTGAGTCCCATGGAAAACTGGCCCCAAGCCTGAGAGGGAGAGAGTATGTGCAAGAGGCACAGTATCTGACTCAGAATCTGTCCTGCACTCCCTGCACTCTGAGTTCTGGTCAAGAGCCTGCAGCAAGGGGACGGATACTGGCCCCTGGAGACTACACAGGCTTCTCCCAAGCAGCACTCTGAAAAGTGAGTCCGACAGTCTCTTCATAAGTCCAATGCTATTCATCCAGAATGAATGAGACCAGTGGAAAAACAGCCCTTAAGTGTGCAGTGGTAAAGGACAGCAAACCATTCTGGACTTCATGCCAACACTCACTCCTTTACCTGAGTCAGGCACATGTTTCAGGCCTTGGGCAATGAAACTCCCTTGGATTTACCAGTATTCCTGTAAAAAGTCCTTTCCTCTTCGTATACCAGAAACTTCACATCTGTAGCCCTTTGTGTAGTTAGTTGCTCTGGCCAGGAGGATAATCAAATATCTCCACCACTACCCCCTTACCCTCTAAAGAACCCTGAAATTGACTTCTGGGACTAGGTCCCCTCCCCAGATTAAGCCTCAGGTGCTAGAGAAAACCAAAGTGCCACCTCCCTGGTTATATGTGTCAAAAAAGATGAGGCCGCAAGAACTAAGAGACAGCTCTAGACCATAAAAGTGCAGACAGTCTGGCTCTAGAAGATTTTGTCTATATATAAAAAGCTTGTGCTGGGATTCAGCCTCCTGTGTTTCCATGGAGACCTTTTCAGGGGCCAGAGACACCTTCTTCATTCTCCCCTTTAAACAGAAAAAATGTTTTTTCTCATTTTTCTTGTTGCTAGGTGGTGCAGTATCCCTACTGGAATAGGACAATGGGTGTGACTTTCATCTCATCCCAGAGGTGAGTCAAGGAAAGCAGGAGGTGACTTGCTTAACCACTGTGAGATTTTAATAAAAAATCTGACCTGGTCTAGGTGGCCACATGTGATCACTCAGGGTAAAATTTTAAATATGAATATAAAAAACAATATCCATCTTATTAACTTGGGGCATAGAAAGAAGAATGGAAAAGATGAAATCTGTTCCTATGATGATTAAGAACTTAGGCTAAAAGGAATTAGATGCATGAGGGTCAGATTCCAGTTCTCACCCCTTGTAATGGGATCTTGAGGTCAAGTTTCTTCATTTTCCCCTTTCATAAAAGGGATACAGTAATACTCTTCCAGTTGTATAGTTGTTACTAGAATTATGTGTCCTGATTTTGTCACAGACAGGGTCTGGGAGATCCTCCCAGAGAGGAAATGGGGGTTTTAATGTATCCCTGCCCATGGAGTAGGTAGTAGGTTGGCTGACTTACACTGCAGAAAAAGTGTATCACGATGCTTCCAGTGACAGGCACAGACAGATTTATCAGACAGAGTTTTAAAAAACACACACTCATGACCCCTCCCACTGCTCCCGGCCCAGAGGTAGGGGCTTCTGAGCTGCTGTCCCACTGCTCCTGGTCCAGAGGAAGGGGCATCCCAGCCACCATCCCTCCCACCACTCCCAGCCCAGAGGAAAGGGCTTTGGGGCCTCTGTCCATCCTGCCCCTCCCAGCCAAGAGGAAGGGGCTTCCCAGCTGCCATCCCTACCGCCACTCCCAGCCCAGAGGTAGGGGCTTCTGAGCCACTGTCCCACTGCTCCTGGTCCAGAGGAAGGGAGTTCCTGGCCACCATCCCTCCCGCTGGTCCAGCCCAGAGGAAAGGGCTTTTGGGCCATCTTCTGTCCGGCCACTCTGAGCCCAGAGGAAGGGGCTTCTGGGCCACCATCCCTACCACTGCTCCTGGCTCCTGTCCCACCTCACCCAGCTCAGAGGAAGTGAGCTTCGTGGGCACCAACAGCACCCCACCATGCCCCCCAAGTTGAAATGAGAAAACACATAAATAAGTCTCAAAACCAGACTTCTAGATCACCTACAGCAACCCCAAAGGGAAATGAGATGGAACACTCTGATACTCAACCACCTGGACCCACTGAACTGGCAAT